CTGTTTACAAGCCTGAGAGCTACCTGATTTCCTTCTAATAAATTCTTGTCTAGTAGAGAGTAGAAATGTGGTTACTGGAGGCTGGGAAGGGGGCAGGCGAGAAGGGGGAAACAGGAAGAGGATGGTTAATGGGCACAAGATTACAGCTACATAGGAAAAATAAGTTCTAGTGGTGTATAGTAGCACTAGGCATCGATAATTAACAATAATTTATACTATGTTCTCAAATGGCTAGAAGAGAGGAGCTCAAAGATTCTCATCACAGAGAAATAATACATTTTTGCAATGATGAATATGCAATTTACCCTGATTTGATCATCACATATTGTATTGACATATTGAAATATAACTGTACCCTATAAATATGTATAATAAATGTGTCAATTAAAAATTAAGACATAAAAAAGAAAAGAAAAAATAGGAAGGGGGAACAAAAAATAGAAGGAAAGAAAAGGAGTAAAGACACAGACAGAGAAAGAGTAGTATTTACTGCAAGCTTTCTAACGAAGGCACTACACTAGGCCCTGTCATGTGTCATGTCATCTAATATTCACAACACACTCCGAATGATAACAAAAGTGCTTTATCATGAAAAATAAAATAAAACAGTAAAATAAATTCCTTTTCTGTTTAAATCAACCAGAATCACTGTTGCTTGCAACTAAGAACCCGGACTAACACTAAGTTTGGTGGCAGACATTGGGTGGGGCGAGCAGCAGACACTCTAATGGGGAATTGTCTGAGTGGAGTGAGCAGGCAGACGGCAGTGAGGACCCCGCTAGTCCAGGCTGGGAGGCTGTGATGCTTGTCGTGCTATTGCAAAACATTTGGTTTACACCAAGGTTTGACAAACTTTTTCTGTAAAGGGCCAGATAGTGAATGTTGTAGGATATGTGGTCTGTACAGTCTCTATGGCAACTACTCAACTCTGCCTTCAAAAGCAGCCTGGAACACAACACTATGTAAATTAGTGGGTGTGGCTGTGTCCCAATAAAACTTTATTTACAAAATTGGGTGGTAGGCTGGATTTGGCCCACAGGCCATAGTGTGTCTGATTTAAACTGTCATCTATTTTATACCAAGTATGAACCTGTGGATGTTGTACTATCAGGAGAAATTGTAGAAACACGTCAAGATGTTCATGTTCAACTTCTAATAGCCTTCAGTAGGATCCTATAAGAAAAAATAAATCTTTGCCAAAGGCAGTCCATCTAATGGCAAACATGGAAGTAAACGTGGCTTTGCTGAAATTCTTTCTGCTTGAGGCCTGCACGCTACATTGATGGAGAATCCAGTGACTTGGAGATTTGCAGGAATGGATAAATCAAATTTTAGACCAGAGATCTGCAAACATTATCTGAAACTGGCCGGAAAGTAAATATTTTAGATGTTGCAGGCTGATAAGAGTTTGGATATGTTGTCCTCCCAAAACTTGTGTCAAAATCTGATCCCTAACTTGACAATGTTGGGAGTGTTTTGAGTCATGGGAACGGATCCCTCATGAATAGATTAAAGCCGGGGTGGGGGTAGGGTGGGGGGTTGGAGGGGTTCGGTGGAGTGG